CCGATAAATCGGAAGCCGGGATTTAAATGCGACAGCAATTTTGTGGGGAATTCTGTTGACTCACCCCTGTTCAAATCCTGAGATAGTCCAAGTGATACGGGACCTAAGCAAACGCATGGACCAACCCTAGCAGCAGCATGAATAAATATCGGCTGTTGTCGGCGTGCCTGTTGCCCCATTTGAGATCGTTGCACGCTTTCTTTCCCACGAGTCTCGGCAACTTGAATGCAACATGCACAGATCTGTATGAACTGGGAAAAACCCGACGCCGTGGTGAAAGTGGAGCATGAAAAATCGAGAATCCATGGAAATGAACTCATTCTATAGGCATTATTCATCCCGAAGGTAGGCTTGCAATTCGGTAAGAATCGAGCATTTTCCGCCGGAATCTCCGTGGTCCGTTTGACGAAGACTTCACGCACCTTTTAAGAATTATTTTTCTTCTCGTTGCGCAACTTCAGTGAGTTCTTCGAGATGCCGCCTTGCGAAATTCACCTTGTGCAACGAAATTCATTACTAATTTTCCTGAAGAGGAACTTTTTCTCCCCGACGGAAAATTCAGCACAACGGTATGAATCAAGGTCAGGATGTCAGGAAGAACAGAAATATGTATCTCATTCGCGTAGATTCCTTTTACGCCGACTTGAGGACACTCCCGTGGCGTAAAACGTGGCTCGCGTGTGCCCAGTGCTTCTGAATCGTTCTCTTGTTTTCACCGAAGGCTATTTCAAGAATGCCGCATTTTCTTCCACCGAGACGCGAAAATTCAACCTTGCGCGAAAATTAGCGCGAAACTGCAATGTTGAGTCTGAGAAAATAAACTGGCAACATCATGTGATTCGACGGTGATCTTTCTGCTCCCTCGGTGGCTTTTCTTACGTCTTGCCCTATGATCCGTCAATGGATACCCCGTTGTTGAGAGTTCAAACACGGAAGCAATTAGGGCCATATGTGGAAGCGAGGTTCAACGAGAAAAATTCTTATTGCGTCGGACTGTTGACTGGTTGTGCACGCGTGCCGAGGTCATCAGCTGTCCGGGCGTAGGGTTTCTATTCCGGGTTCCGAGAACATGTTGGGTCAGCCGTTTGTCGACCCTGAAACACGATTTATCGCTGCTAAATCACGGTGCTCACATGCTGCTGCATGTTTCTTCGGATTTCACGATGCGCACGTATGTGAACTGATAGTTTCTGCGTGCTAGTATACACATTCCTTGGCGATAGTAAATTCCTCCGAAATTGTGAACAAATGAATGCAGTAAAAAGGGTTGCATAATACAGTAGTGAAAATTGAGTTCACACAACAGACGAATGGCCGAAGGACAAGAGCTTGTTCATCTTCTCGGAGTCTATTGACCTTTCTCGAAAAAAGTCAATCAAAATGTCGAATATTATTCATACAATCTTTTTCTCACCAAAGCGTCGCCCTGATGGTTTATCTTATTGAAAACATCTTTCTTGAATTTTTCTTTCATGTTCAAGAAAACGGATACCCCAATAAGAACTTGTATTTTAAGAATGGGATATTTAGAAGGAAATTCTCTGCTCATCATTTTTATGGAACTTTATTTAAAAAACTGATTTAGCGTTTACAATTATAGTAACGCGCGCATGTTGGATGTACAGTACTATATATAGGTAGAATTGTTGTACAATTGACCACGGTCAATACAATCCAGGGAATCCTCTCCAAGACAACTGATTCAATAAATCTGCCAAAACTCTAACAAATTTTCAAAATTTATTTTAAACTTTGAATGAACTAGTATTTCCTGATAACCACATCAGCTCTTGCAAATTTTAGGCCATCAAGCGTTTACAAGACCGAATTTGAATTTTAAGGAGCGCGTAAAAATTATAGTAACAACTGCAAAGACATTTTTAAAACTCGTCTTCTGAGACTGTTTCCATTCTCTGTGCTTCTATTTATAGTCTATAGCGCGGATGTAACTCCGATTTCTTAGCTCAAACAGTTCATCGGGTTGCGAAGTTAAGTCAATTCATGTAGCTGGTCAAAAAAGGAATAATTTAATGCTCAAAGTTTTCATTTGACGAACGATTACTTGTCACTTAATTGATTGGCAACTGATATTGAACGTTTGCCCAGTGTCAACAAATACACTGGATAATCAGCTGGTGATCGGGTGAAGTGGTCAAAATAAAAACATTGACCCCCCATTAATGTGAACATTTTGTAGCAACAAACTGTTATGGACCCAACATATTTTATGTTATAAATATCCAGATTTTCTTTAAAAATTGAATTTTTGACATAGAGATTCATTTTGCCGATCTTGAGTATTTTTCTAGGCTAGGAAAGGAATTTCAAGACAGAATGTTTCCCGGCACCAGCATGCCGAAACGATTTTCCGTGAAGATTAATTTGAAAAAAGTTCCTCCAATAAGTCATATCCACAATAATTAGTATTGAATATACTTATCAAAGCAATCAAGCTTTTTTGCATGAAGGCAAAATTGTTATAATGCATCTAAAACTTAATTTAAATTCCTTTTAAATTGAATAACCCCACTCAAAGTTCTTTCGTAGCTAAGTCAAGGCTATTATAAATTTCTTTAGCTAGAAAAGGGATTCCCTCGACAACAGGAAACAGAATACTGCTTACAGATGACTTCCCAGGATAATAGACAACAACCAGCAAGCCAAACAACTTCAATACTGACTTCAGAATTTGTTCCTTATAATGCAGAAGGAAACAAGACAGGAAAAAAATTTCAAACAATATGAAAAAGTGGGAAAATCACCATCAGAACATTTTTTCTTTTTCTGAACTTTAAAAATGCATTCAAAAAATATTTTCATAACATGGTGCATATGATATTTACACCAGTGCTTTTGAAAAGTTTTGTGAAAATGAAAATTTTGTTATGATGAAATGTTTTTTAAAACGGCATTTATAACACAGTAAAAAGACTTTTGTCGGTACTTACTGATGAATGAGCACTGTCGATGCATTTCAAAGGCTTGAAGGGTAAAACATTCTCCTCATATAACCAAAACATCGAACTTAGTGAACCTATAATTTGCTTGAACAAATGAGAGAGATACCATCTGCACCAGTGACCAAGCTTTTAATGTATAAAATGAAGATTAGTTAAAATTATCATATGAGGCCCTGTTTAATTAATTTTTTCTACTAATACGCCCATTCATATCTCAAGGAGAAAATTACACCATCTGAAAAAGTTACATTGCAGCACTTTCACTACAATGTTGATGTTTGTTACTTTCTCAAATTTTCATCACATAATTTCTCTGTAATGGCTTATTAGCCTGAATCAAGGTGTGCACCAGGAAACATTTAGAGGCATATTGAGAGAAAGAGAGTGAATAAATGAGGATTATTCCTGTTGGTCGATTTCCCAACCGTTCCTGAGTCGTGGCGTGTCCACATATATTTTTTTTTTACGTGGACTGATTTTCCAATACAATTCCGAACTTGAGCAGAGATCAATAAAACCAGCAGCTCTCCTGGCCGCAAGATACTGTATAATCGAAACATCCGTGGCTTTTACCTGGACAGAGTTACCCTTGGATTAGTTCCCACTCCCAACACCACCGCAAGCTAAGAACCCCTCCGGACCCCAGAAAGTAAGAAGGAAATATCCTAAAGACGAAAAAGTGAACCATCTCGATGATATTGCCTCCAAATCGAGATGCTCCTTACCTTCGCAACCTTGAGGAATGAGGCGGCGGGTGTGGAATTGCAGCGCCCGCCGCGCGCTCCCGCTTTCCCGCTTTGACGCAGTTGTCACACACAATTCCTGATTGTGTTTTAGCTGCGTTTTTGTGTGATAAGCTCATGCCCTTAGTCGCCTCTTGCATATTCGGTAGGTTACGTTGAGCGGCAACGGATCTACAAGCTGCAGCAACTTTTTTTTGTGCATTCCTCTTCTCTGTTAACTGCTCCTGTGAATAACCTGCCGGAGTCTTGACCCAGCATTCCTCACTCGCCGCTCAGCTTGCTCTCTGCTCACTACATTGATGCCACACTCGCAAGTCTACGGTAGCAAGTTGTAAAATAGTCATGGTCCCGATATTTTGCTTTTATTCATTCTCGAGTGTCATACAACGCATGTGAATCTCCTGTGTTTTCAGGTCTCAGTGAAATGTTTTCCGAGCTGTTCAAGTAGAACTTTTCCTGGGCTACTAAAAGCTGTACTTGAATACGTTTTCAGTCGGAGAAAACTGCCAGAATAATATCCATGAATGAATGATATTCATTCATTCATGGATATTTAATGAATGAATTTGGATGCGGGAGTTCTGGTTATCCCTTGTGAACGCTGAAAAGCGGCAAATAAAGTTTTCTGTTCATTCATTCATTCATTCATCATATCCATAGTGTGTGCATCACTTTGTCAAAATGGCTGAATTTAAAATCTAGCGCGTGTGCAAAATGTGAGATTTTATGAACCATGTCCAATTGTGATTCGTCGAGATGAAACAAAGGTACACAAGTACGTCATGCTTTTTTTTTAATTTACTTCATTTTTAACAGTTATAACTCGTAATTTCCATTTCATTTCCAACAAAATTATGCCTCGAAATTTTTAATTCATTGATCGAAATAACCAGGGGCTGAAGCATCGTGAGATTTGGGGAAAAGCAGAAAAGAATAAATGTTGTAGAAAGCATGGCTGAACTTGAAAAGTCAGATATTCCTTTTTTTCCAAATGAGCCTTTCAAAATAACTGTATTCAATTTTTAGTGATATTTGACCATCTATGAAAAGTCTTTGACTCTGCTCATGACAGTTATACTGTTACACTATTATATAATCTTCCAGTCCAAAACTATCTTTTCTGCTGAACAGGAATTTAAATAAGTATACCATTCAAGAAGAGTAGCAATTAATTAGTATATAACTGTCTGCGCAAGGATTTTGTGATTTAACTGCGGGTTTCCTCGTTGATTCCTTGAATAATCGCCTTTTGTCTACCAAACAAAGGAGACGCAAATGCTTTGTTGTTTCTCATTGTGTACTCATTTAGTGCCAGAAGCAGTGGAAGAATATGGTCGTCACTTCAGTAATTGGAATGGCTTTTGCCGTTTTATTTATGCTCGTTATCGTTGCGCCGTTGTGGCTTTTGTTCTCCCTAATTCGCCTGGGAGTGAAATTGGCAGTGGTCAAATTGCTGCACAAAAACAAGATGGAATTATTGCGCGGTATGGACGCCGGTTTCGTGTACAGGCATTTGGATCGCCCCACGAATCGTCTCAACTTCTGTTCCTTCGTCATCATCGAAGGGCGTCCCGATCTCGAGGCTGTGCGAGACCGGATTTCCGCAAAAATGCTTGACAGCAAAAGCAAAAAGGACGAGACGAGGAGTCGGGCAAAACGATTGACGCAATTCGTGAGGAGATCCATGGGCTACTTTTTCTGGGACGAAGAGCCCGATTTCGCCGTCGAAAAGCACGTACGATTTGCAACTGCCGAGAAGAAATGTAAGTTTCATTTGGATAAAATTCAGTATACTTAGATGCTCTTCCTGTCCCTAACAAATATCTTTCTTCAGCAATGTTCTCAATTTTGCGAATAATTTTTGTAGTGGAATATGAGCATCTGGAAATGCGTGTAAACCAATCAATGTGTATTGATGCTCCCGAAAAAATGGGCATTTCGGATATACGGTATTTTCAAGCAAATAAGTACAGTATCATGAAATTTGAGTTACTTTTCACAAAGGAGGAGAAATTTGAAAGCATAAATGAGACATCCCAGTTTTATTCCGTCCTCAAAAGAATAAAAAAATTCTCCGAACACTCTTAAGTTTTAGACGTTTTCTACATTTTTAGAATTTTCAGGAAACATTTCAAGTTATCCAATGAAATGCTGAGCTTCGAGAGACGAGAAGCGCTTTCTTGCGAACTCGAAAATTTCACCCCTCATTACCAAAACGCAACCCTGTTCACGCAAAAATACAAAAATCCACCTCTAATTTTCCAGAAAAGGGCAAAATTCAATTTTCTCTCCCACAGCATCTAACACGTGCGTTTTTTCATAAGATGCCATGCTCGTCCGAATTTCATCTTTTTTAATTGTTCCACCTTCTTTTGACCCACATTAGAAAAATTGCATTCTCCTGGCATCCGGAAATATTTGCATTTTTCCGGGTCAATCAGCGCGTAAGCCACTACATTTGAGCAGCTGCTTCAAACCGATGTTTTTTCAAGTGCTAGTATAAAATAGGTGCAGGTCCCCGAAAATTGCTGTTGATGGTGATGTAGAGAAAGAATGTTCCCCAGTATTTTTTCTATGATGTAACAGATTTTCGAATGAAGAAGTGGAACGTTCCTTTGAAACGTTCGTACATTGACCACACTATTTTTTTTCTATAACTCGTGACCTTGTGAACAGTTCAATGCATCGTGATGCAATTCCTCCAGCGGAAGATAGGTGCGGTATTTGCTGTAGGTGAATTTTCGGGATTTGAGACATTGTTGTACTTTGAAAATTTACGAGAGGTCACGTGAATTCGGAAAGTGATTCTAACATTTTGAACAAGGGGTGCCCAGCCACACCCGGACAAGGTCAAGCATCAGAAAAGCAATTCATCATTTTTGTTGACTTCTATCTTTAGCTATAAGATGGGATTGATTCAAGCAGTCCTTCTCACTTGCAGATGTATTGTTGCAGCACTTATTTTCCTCTATGCCAAGCTTTTATTGAATGCGTTTTTCTATTTTTTATTTTCCATTTTACCCTTTTTCTCACTGTATCTCTATTTTTTCATTATAACCTTCTAGATGACGTCTACAAGTTCAGAGGCATTGGCAAGAGATCATATTATCACAAACTGCGTTGACAAAAATCGGCAAAGGTATTCTGGTTGTTGTATGATAAAAATTTCTTGAGTTTGAGAACTGGTCGGGAAACATTTTTCAATCATTTTAAAGTAAACTATTGACCAATAATTCTTTACTCAATGAAACACTTGGAAAATTTGGACAGGGAGACTCTAGCTTAGGTCTATTTCTTCAAGGCAATGGCCCAGGTACTGAATGATAAAAATTGACATTCTATAAGCTCTATAAATAGTACGATAGATTGCATAAGGCTGAATGACCAATCGAAAATCAAAAAGAATTAGCCCAATTTATGAAATTACCAAGTTGCAGATTGGTCGGATTTGAATTGGTAACTTTATGATAAGCTATTCGTGTCCTTTCTACCAGTTCATAATACAAGTTCCTTTTCTTTTGTGCTCCCATGTCATAGACTACAAAGATATACAAGAAAATCCCTAAAAATATTAGACTGATGGTATTTATGCATTTGAATTACTGTACTTGAGGAAACACAGCACTGCTCACCAAAACAATGGAAAAAAGCGACTCGTAAAATCCGTTTTGCAGAATCACTCACAAATAATAGCAAAAATCAAATATGTTTGTGAAATTCATAAAATTCTGAGCCTTTGAAATTGAAAAACACTGTACGATTTTAATTTTAACTGGAAACAATTAGCATAGAATATCAAATCACTGGGGAGAATTTGGGACAAAAACTGAAGGCTTGATTCCTGGTTTTTCTTTGAAGAATGAGCAGCTTCAGTTACATTTACAATGTTTGACAAAGCTGTGCACTTTGAATAGCTGAGTTTCGGCTCTGCCTAATCTTTTTCCGTTTCACATATCCAACAAGAAAAGCCAGATAAATGAAACGATTCTAGAATATGAACACAAAATGTGGATAACACGTGTTAATCCTAATAATTCATGGCGATGGCTTTTCGAAATTTTGATCCCATTTTCTCTCCTCTTTTTACAGTTCACAGAAACATTCGTGAAAAATTGAAAAGGGCAAAATTTCGACAATTCAATCTTGATAAACAGCAGAACATTTTTCGCTTTTTTTAGTAAGATGAAATTTCGATTATTTGCAGACAATTTTAGAATTGAAAACACATGATCTGCTGAAGCATGTAGAGGAACCCCTGTTATAATGAGTAGCCAAGTACTTTGCTCACAAGATCATTAATCATTAAAGTCAGCAAAACACCTGAAAATTCCTGAAATGCAAGATCCTGAATATTTACGCAAATCGTTCATTTTCAAGATTGCGTGATAAAAAATTATTCTATTAAAATTGTTTGAGCCCCCAAACATTTATTTAAAAACAGATGTTGCTGCTTTAATTCTGCATATACACTAAAATATTCTATACCAGCGATCCCCAATTTTTTTTGGACCCGCAGACCAGCAAATTTCCATAACATTTTTTTGCAGACTGGCAAATTTTCAAAACATTTCCTGCGGACTGACATAACATGATTTTCAATGTTGCAAAATTTTTGCACACTCAAAAAAGTTTTTCTTGAAATACCTTATGGCAAGTATTGAAACAATTTATGCTTTTTTGCAAAAAAATTAAGGTGAGAACCAATGAAGCAGGTATAGTGGAATGTCTTTACAAATTAGAAAGATATGGGCTTGAACAAAAATTTCTCAGAATGAAAAAATAAATAATTTATTTCATCAGGTGAAAATTTGTCCGAAGTCTTAGAAGAAGAAGAGCCAACTTTTATTTTTCATGAGATAAATTTAAGTGCAATTGTCCTGCAAAAATTTCAGACAAAGGTACTAAAGCGTACTTCATTGGTTGTTTTGATAAATATATGTATTAATGCTGGAGAAAATTACCCGCGGACTGGCAATAAACTTCCGCGGCCCGGCGCCGGTCCGTGGACCACGGGTTGGGGACCACTGTTCTAGAATGCAGTTGAAAATGGTGTTATGGTGAAAGGGAAAGAACATGGCGAACTTTCGATGAGCAATTTTGCTGAAGGTGGAGAGGAAGTTCAACGCCTGTTTGCTTCCTCACGCAGGCAAACGATGCGCGGAGGAATATCCAGGAACTCTTTGTTTCCAAAACGACCAAGACTTGGGAACTTTCATCGCTGGCCTGTCAGAGAAGGATTTCGAGAAAAATTTCAGCCCCTGGGAAGTCCTGGTCGTGCCAAGGTGTCGAGACGATCCGGAAACAGAATTACAGTACGCGATCGTTTTCCGAATGCATCACGTCATCGCCGACGGTGTCGCTCTCGTGAGGTCGTTCCTTGATTGTCTCGTCGACGAAGACATCCGCACTGTCGACAGGAGATCCTCGGAAGGTGATTTGCAATCCACGGTTCCGAGCATTTCCTTGCCGAAAGGAGACGTTGGTTTTCGCGCTATGCTGCGGGGTTTCTTCAACATGCCCGGAATGGCGATGCGGATTTTCACCGGACCAGACAATAACGCCTTGTTCGGCAAACCACTGACAGGTTGGTACGGGTTGTGACATGCACTTCCCCCCCACAATACCACTAGATTCTTTTTTCCACCCCCAGTGACGTCATTATACTTTTCCATTGTTTATCCTCATCTTCGTGTGACGCATACATGTTGCCAACGGAATCCGCGTTTCCATAAAGCAAGGAGATTATTTGAAATGTTGAACGCAACGTACAAACAACGCCCTTTCACTGGTTCAAGTCTCCTCTGACATTAATCACACTAAAGCATTGCTGTCATTATATTTTCAATTTAAACTTCGTGGAGGTTATCTTTTGTGTCGCAAGAATTAATGCCTGCCCTTCGCAAAAATCCGAGTTTATTCCGCCTTGATTCACACGCTGACAAATTTATGAGGGCCAACATCCTTCTAAGTCAAATGATCTGAAAGATATTGTTGCAATTTTTGTCGAGACGAAATTTCTGCCACTGTGAACCAAAAAGAGCCTAAAAAAATTTTTTTTTGGTGTACACAAAATCTTCTTCATAGATTTCCCAAAAATCCGAGTCAGAGAAAAATTCTAGAATTTTCTTACTTATAAACAAATGAAAACCCCTCCTGATTTCTTAGCAACCCGCAATATTGACATGGGAACAGCAATGATGTTAAATTTTCACATCCGTTATTGAAAGTAGATTTTCAATGCAGGAACATTATCGGGTGACGGGAATTCAAACGAGCTTTAGCCCGAGTGCCGCATTCACGGAAAATTCATTCGTGAAAATCCTAAGAAAATATAACAGACTTAGGGAGCTGGAATAGTTTTCGCTCCGAAAAATCCTTAAAAAAATTAAAAAACTTCGTCTGCACTGGTTTTCGTCTCGAATCAAATGCATTCGATACTATGCGTAATATGCTTCAAAAAGGGTAGATTTTTCAAATTGCTGCAGCATGACGTCAGATTTTATAAGGACTTATAGCATCGTCCTGTGGGAAAGCACAATCAATTTTCTTGCAGCACCGATTTTGGGGCTACAGCCTAAAACCGAAATATTCGGAGATATGTCCGTTTTGGTGAAACATATTCGAATCGAGATATGCGAGCATCACAGTTGTAAATTTATTTCACAAACTTGAAAATCACAAGCCTGCAAAAATGAGACACCAGAAACAAAATGAGCGGTTTTACGGCTGCATAGTCCGTATTTTCCTCAAAAATTTCAGAATTTTAGGCGTGCTTCGTATGAAGTGTCTTCCAATCTCAACGAAAATGATTGTGCTGCCAATAATCGTATCGGTATTGTAAAAATCCTAGACCTAGACTTATACTTGACTGGCATATTGTAGCACTTAGCAAATCTGTATAGGGTGGAAATCATGAAAGATTTTTTAATCACGCCGAAAGCCCAATGATGGAGATAAGAGGCTCTTAAAAGAAGTTACATGGTTTTGAAATGTGTTGCGAAAGGGGTTTGGGCTTGAGTATGAAGGGTAGTCTGATGATGCCATCGATGAGGATTAGGCTTGAGAAGTCGGTCCCCTTTTGTAGTAAATTTTACAGGGTGTTTATGACTGCTTGTGCAATGTCTTGATTCGGGGTTTCCAGGGAAGCGTGTCATGTGCTGGTCGGACCCGTTACCCTTGACACTGCTGCGCGAGGTTGGAAAAGTCCAGAACCAGAACGTGACGATCAACGACGTCTACATGTCCAGCGTGACGGCAGCCCTTTTGAAGCGGACGAAATACTGCTCTAAACCCGTGAAAAACGGCTTGGAAGTGTGTCTGCCCGTGCCGCCGACGAACGACTTGAAGGTGTCGGCTATTATTCCGATAGGCCTGTACTCTTGCAATTGCTCGGGAAAGAAGCCGGTGACAGGGAAGAGCCCCGTGTGCAACAAGTGCGACCCGTATTGGGAAAATTGCGTCGGGAACCGCTTGACCGTAGTGAGGGTCCAGTTGGACAGTTCTTCCGACACTCCTGCTGCTCGTCTGAGGGCAACTCGGGAGCGTTTCGCGTTGATGAAGCAGTAAGCCAAGGCTTTTATTTTTTTTTTTTTTACATGCAAGACATTTTTTTCTACGAAGAATATTTTGCTATCTGTTTCCGAAAAAAAATTAATATAACAGCATCTCACTACCTGGATTACGCAAAATTTACTGGCGTGTGTGATACGTAAGAAAAGGCCGCAGCCCTTCCTCCGAATACGCTTGAAAAAAAAAAACACCAATGCCCAAGCTGTTCTAGGTCTGGCGACAAAGACTGGAAGGTGTGGCTCATACTTGAAATCGCGTGGACAAAGAAAGATGGTCAATGATGAAAAGAGTACCCCCCGGGCAAGATTTTCATCCAGATGATTTTCTGATTTTTTTGTCAGTTTATTCCAGGATAGTACTGCATTTACTCGAGTATCATGCCTCCTCAAGAAAGATGCAAACCATCTTCAGCCTTAAACTTTGATAAAAACGTATCTCTCGATAAGATGCGCATCCTGTTTTCAGTGACCGAAAAAAAATGCGACATTTAAAATAAAACGCACCATCAATGGGGATGTTCACTTCAATTAAATCTGAATTGAATTAATTTTTAGTTGTTAGTATTTTATAAGATTTTTTCGTAAAAATGTATCCAAATTTGTCCATCATAATCGTACATGATGCGAAGATAAATTTCAAAAGCTTAAAAACATTTCCCACATGAATGAACTATTTTTTCTCTTGAAATTCGGAAAAATGCATGTATAGTACCGGAGTACATAGGGTTTGAATTTTGACCAAACCCATGTAATCTTCATGAAATTCAAATTTTAATTAGTGCCTGAAGAAAAGAGTAACACATTTCATCATTTTGTCTCTGAAAATGGACAATTTTCTCCGGCCGTTTATTTATTTATTTTATTTTTTTAACAGCGACTGAATACCTAAAATCAGGGATGACTCATAGATGAATGATCAATATTAGGATCATTCCATTATTCAATATCGAACGCTGATTAAAACTTTCAATCTGGTTTTTACCCTGATTGTATACCCGCGCGATTGCTTTTAAATTTCGTCGTTCGAAAAGTTTAGGCGGTACAATCTTGTAAAAAATAGGCCGTGACTTAATTTCAAATGTGCCTCTAGTGGATCGTATCACAATGCATCGTGGTCTTTCTCCATAAATTGCAAACGACAAGAGAAACAGCTATTGTCCTCATATTTGGGGATTACTGTCATTTTGGCTTGTTTATGATGATCCACAATGATACTAAAGTGTTCCATAGGAGTGTGGCCATTTCGGACTTGCTTTTTAAAATTCTGTCGGAGAAAATCGTTACCCGCCATCGTTTCACATTACATTTTATCTTGAAGACATGCATGCGTAGTAAGCCCTTCTGGCACTTGAGTCGATCATATTTATGGCCTTTGAGAAGGCACCTAAAAATAGAACTTCTAGAATCAAGTGGATGTAAGTAGTTGCGTATTTGAGAAGCGGCATTTCGCTCCTTTCTTCCTCTTCCTGTTGATGTTGGAAGCTACGTAGAAAAAGCCCCTTCTCCTTTCAACGCAGGTCTGTGGATGTTGCTGGCTCCTACGTCCTCGGAACGTATTTCATGAACGTTTTTCCGAATCCGTTCCTCGAGCCATTGATTCGGAACGAAACTTCTACTTTGGTGGCGTCCAATCTCGCTGGCCCTGACAAGTGTTTGCACATCGCGGGACAGAAGTGCCTCCGTTTTGTGTATTGGGTCCCGCAAACAGGGGATGCAGGTGAGTAACTTTTCCGCGCGTTTTTCTCGCGTTCGACGTTAGACCTCTGCTTTTGAAATTCATCTGCGACATTTTCAGAGCAATGAATGCGTCTGCGTAGAGAAAATGGAAAAAAAATTGAATGCAAGGACTAGAGCAGTTTGGTTATGAAAGGGATTCCGGGTGGTCGCGGATATTGTTTGTTGACCTTCCGTTTCGAGCGAGTTCTCCACAGAGGAGCGGAGTCTGAAAGCGGCGACCTCGGGAGAATCCAACATGACCGGTCCCTTCCCGTGTCTGATTTTATACAGAGGATTTTTTTGTGTAACCATGGTGCATTGTTAGCCCAAGCAGCTCCTTTTACGGAATTCAATGCCGCTTTAAAAACGGGGTCTGCGATGGGATAGTCGAAAAGAACTGCGTCGATCGACGCGTCGGCCACTGATACGATTGCGACATGCAACATGCGTCATGTGTCTTTAACGGTAATACAGTGAAACTCCAATCGACCGGTCTGAATACTGAAGAAGTGCCTTAAAAAAACACGAATATTCGCATCCGATTGAAAACATTTATTCATAAGATTTAAAGAGAAAAAACATAGATGACCCGAGAGGAAGAGCATCAGTCCGAATAATCAGTCAGTGATGAGAAAATTAATTACTCCGACTTGATTTTCATTGTCAAACTCCATTCACTAAATCAATACCAAATATGCACAAAAAAAACTTGGAGGGATTAAAAAATCACCATGATTTTCAAGTTCCTCTGATGATTCATTGAAAAATCATGGGGATTTAAAAATCACTATGAATTTTTAATTCCTCTGAAAAACATCCGAAAAAATCAGTAACCATAAGTATCCCAAAGTATAATTTTACGCACGTTCGCTCAACATCTAGGATTTAAAAAACCAAAACAATCTTTATTGAATAAATGCTATATTCAGTGTTTTATGTATGTAATCTGAAATTAGGGAACAAATAGTTTTAGTCACATTGTTCCTCCAAATCGGTTCAGTCAATCATAAATTTCATTTCTGCCTTATATCATCATGCGATAAGGATAAACATATCTTTCAAAATGTGAAAAACTCTCAGTAAATGTTTCTTACTTATGAAATGATTAAATAAGGCCTCATTTTCAGTCCCTAATCAAAAGCACAGTCAAATTTCATGAAAAAACTTGAAAGAATTTGAAAATCACACTACAGTACTGACAAATTAGTCACCATCGCGAAAGTCTCTTGAAGTATTATTTTGCGTACGCTTACTCAAAATCGAGGATTCAAATTTTCAAAATAATATTTAATAATGGAATTTTTCAGTGCTTTCAGTAATCTATGATTATTTGGGAACAATTTTCTTGGTCGTATTGCTACTTCAAATCGGTTCAATCAATCATATATCTCACCTTCTGACTCATGTAATCCAAAAGAACAAAAAAAGAACAATTAACAGACATTAAAAGAACAATTTTTCAAAATTGGAACAATTCTCCCGTAGATTTTTTTTTTGGTCAAGCAATAATTAAATGCCTTCTCGTGAGTTCTCAAACATCGTCAACTGGTGGTTTTTCAGTGTTGGTGAGACTTCGCAAAATTTCGGGGTTTATTTTCCTGAATTTTTTCTTTGATGAACTTGAGGAATTCTATTTTTATTTCGAAGACGTCCTCATCTGATTTGTTCTAATCATTTGTGTTATTCGTAGGCATCGGTGTGTCGATTCTGAGCTACAACGGACAAGCCACGCTCGCAGTAGCAGCCGACACCGCCATCCTTCCGGATTACCAAGAAGCCGAGTCCTTCTTGCGGGACGTGGTGCATGAGGTGCGATTGCTGGCAGGTGTTGCCAGGTTCCCGGTGTCCGAAGACGGGTGCGGTAGGAAATACTCACCCAAGTACGAAGCCTTCATTCCAACGCATTTGCCGCATTCGCACAAAAACGAACGCTGAACGCTGCTTTCCCGTTGCCAGCGGATTACAAAACCAGGAATACCTATTGTCCGTGGTCGTTGTTGTATGATTTTATCGGCGTGCTCTCGTGCTTGATTTTCGTGTGAGTGAAAATTCCCCCTCACAAAGAGTTGTTTGTACCAAAATATGACAGACATTTGAATTGTTCTAATACTCATTCATTTGAATACGATGCCCTTGCGGACTTGGTTCCCGAATGTGCGCATTTCCACTAGCTCAGGTTGCTCTTTCTGTTCAACACGTGCCGCTAAAAACACAGGATGTTTTAAAAGTTCAATATTAATACCTTCCAAGGATCCCAACAACGTTTTCTGACGAACTCGTCACGTTCGGCCGGATAAACCGCGCAAAAAATGAAGTACAACTGCGAATAAACAGTAGGCGACCCAAAATGCGAAACATTTTCAATTTACCTTTAATTGAATGCCTTTACAAGGATGATAACCATATTGACAACTCTGAATGCATTTGCGTGGCTGTTATAGTCATATTAATGGCTAGTCGAAAATCGTTGCTTCGCCTGACACATGATTTATGCCATCTGCGCGAAAAAGGATTCTTCCGAGATTCCCGGAAAAGTAGGATTGAAATACGTCAGGAGTGACATTAATTATGTTGGGGTCAACTCATAATGTTCGTGAATGACACTTGGACAATCATTTTTCTTCGATAATATTGTATACCTACCCATTATGTTTCGAATGTTTGGATCTCTCTACCGAATTACTACAAATGACAGGCGAGAACTAAATTGAAGTCTTCCCCTATTTTTCAGTGATGCTTGAATCACTATATTGTGATGCAGCATTCACAGTGATGCGGTGTACATTTTGAATCGATTCGTCGTGAATTCATGTGTTCTTACGATTTCCAACTTCGTGACAGCGACATCGTAACAAATTACTTGAGATTCTCCGTGTGGTTAAAGTAAATTTCGTCAGGTGTCGCTCAAATGTGCGACAGGCACTTCCTCCACCATGATCGAGAAAACCTCCTGATGGATACCCAAGAAAACTCCAAGAACTACCTTCGTAGACAGGGCCGGCCCAAGCCTTCATGGCGCCCGTGTGCAAACCCTCACTTGGCGCCCCTATACATGAAAAACTGCAATCAGACAATATACAGTCAAACACCAGTTTATGGACATTCTGAGTTACAAATTCTCAGTTTAAGGACTGGCTCTGTTTTGGGGAAGTTGCACCTGATACTTATGGACTGTAAACTGGCTTATGGACTGTGGTACATTTTGCTGACTGAAAAATTGTTAAAAATTCAATTTTCAACCAATTTTAGAATTGTCTACAGCTTTGCATGCACAAAGATGTTTTCTAAATTTCCTTTTTTAAACATGCAAAAATCTGAACATTTGACAGAATTACAATCAAACTTGGAATTTTTTTTTGAAAATTGTACAAAAATCACCAAAAATGTTTTTATTTTTTTGAATTTCAACTGTTTCAATTTGTAACATTTTTCAACAAAAAGAAAAAAGCTTGTAAAACATCACTGTGCATGACACCCTGTAAATAATTTTCAAGTTTCATCAAAAGCAAATAAATTAGAATGGGCTAGAATTCCAACTGTTTCAATTTGTAACATTTTTCAACAAAAAGAAAAAAGCTTGTAAAACATCACTGTGCATGACACCCTGTAAATAATTTTCAAGTTTCATCAAAAGCAAATAAATTAGAATGGGCTAAACTAAAAAGTCTGAATTCTTGTTTCAGTTTTTCTTCCCAATTTTTCATCTTTTAAAATTTGCCAAAAAAGCAATTATGCACTGAAATGCAAATTTTCAACTGCATTGAAAAAATCATGAAGTTCTCTACACTTCCCATTTTTTAAACATAAGATAATCCAAGTTGACAAAGGTGAAAATGAGAATGTAAAACCTTTTCTAAATGACAAAAAAACATTTTTTCAGATCTGAAAATTTATAAAAAATTTCCTTCTTTACCAAACTTTAAATATTTAAAGGGATTAGAGGTGCAGAGATTTCTTCTGAATGTTTGTGTTTTTGTTGAAAACTCTAGTAAATTTAAAAATGTATAAGCAAAAAACTAGAACTTTTTAAAATTTTGTTATTGTTTGTCTGATAATTGTGCTTCTTTTAACAATGTACTCTTTTATAACTGTGCTTATTTTAATAACTGTATCAACTGCATTGAAAAAATCATGAAGTTCTTTACACTTCCCATTTTTTAAACATAAGATAATCCAAGTTGACAAAGGTGAAAATGAGAATGTAAAACCTCTTCTAAACAACAAAAAAACATTTTTTCAGATCTGAAAATTTATAAAAAATTTCCTTCTTTACCAAACTTCAAATATTTAAAGGGATTAGAGGTGCAGAGATTTCTTCTGGATGTTTGTGTTTTGTTGAAAACTCTAGTAAATTTAAAAATGTATAAGCCAAAAACTAGAACTTTTAAAAATTTTGTTATTGTTTGTCTGATAATTGTGCTTCTTTTAACAATTTACTCTTTTATAACTGAGCTTATTTTATTAACTGTGCACTTTACACACTGTCAATACATGAAACAATGAACCATGCTGATATGTCTCTTGATTACAAAATCTAAAAAATTATAGTTTTTTGCTCAATTCTGCAATTAGCTGTATATTTTAAGCATGACAAATTTTAAAACTTATCTGCATATCTAACCCATTACATATTTAAACTAGGGGAAATTTTATCTTTCACCAAACTTTGAATTTTCAAAGGGATTCCAGTTGCAGAGAATTTTT